GCCCAGAGTTCAGGTCCCACGACCGGACCCCCCCCTCCCCCCAAAATAAAGGAAGAAATTGTATTAGCCAGGTGCCGGTAGCTCACGCCTGTAATCCTAGCTACTCAGGAGGCTGAGATCTGAGGATCTCAGTTCAAAGCCAGCCTGGGCAGGAAAGTTCGTGAGGCTCTTCTCTCCAATAAACCGCTAGAAAACCGGAAGTGGTGCTGTGGCTCAAGCGGTAGAGTGTTCGCCTTGAGCTGAAGAGCACAAAGACAGCGCCCAAGCCCAGAGTCCAAGCCCCATGACCGACAAAAAAAAAGAAAACCCTGTGTGAGGATGGTACATGCCCACCCACACAGGCTGCCATGTGCTGGGAGACCGACTAGGCCTGCACAGACGCCTCCCTACACAAGCCCACACACAAAACTGGTGACAGAGAGGAATACAGCTGTGTCGCTAAAATAGATGGACAAGGTTTTGTAAAGAATGGGGAATCTGTTCTAGAAAATAGAAACAAGCATTCGATGTTTTAATTAACTCAGCCACTATTTTATATGGTTTTTTGTTTTGTTTTGGTTTTTGGTTTTTTTGGTCAGTCATAGGGCTTGAACTCTGGGCTTGGGCGCTGTCCCTGCGCTCTTCAGCTCAAGGGGAGCACTCTACCACTTGAGCCACAGTGCCACTTCCAGTTTTCTAGTGGTTTATTGGAGATATGAGTCTCACAGACTTTCCTGCCCAGGCTGGCTTGGCACAATCCTCAGATCTCAGCCTCCTGAGTAGCTAGGATTACAGGTGTGAGCCACTGGCACCTGGCTTATTTTATATGTTTTAAAAAGAACAGGTACAGCTACGTATTGAACACTGTAGGTAGATCTGCTACCATGATTTTCCCGAATACCACTCAACACAGCACAGATCACAGATGACTTAAGGAAAAAATCCATGTTCCATCTATCTCACAAGGTTTAAATTATACACAAATGAGACACCCAACTTTTTCTAAAACTTTTTTTTTCAATGTAAGTCACAGATAAGTAGCCGATAAATAACTTTTTATTGTCCATAAAGAAATGGAAACTCTCCCAATATAAAAAGACCATCTCTGAGCATTGACAGACATCATGTAACTCCCAGGTGAGCGCTACATCGGACAGTAAGTCAGCCACCAGCCCAAGTCATAGGACAAAGCAAAAGCAGCACATGCAGGTTGGTTGCATGAAAGATGAGGAGTCCAGCTCTGTCCACCCAGAGAATCCAGGAGGGGAGGACAGCAAGGCTGTAGAGGGAAGAGCATCAGGAAGATAGCACCTTGCATACTTCAACCCGAACATTAGAACATGCACATACCTGTAGGAAGCTGATAGCCATTAAAATGAGGCTGTACGAGCTGATTCCGCCTGTAAAGACCTCATTCAGGTCCCTCTGCAGGAGGAACTGTTTCAATACTAAAATCAAGTAAGGCAGCAATGAGTACTTCTGCAAATTTCAAAAGAAAATGATTTACTGATTAGTTAAAACATTTGTGAAGAACATTAAGACAGCAATCCTCTTGCCCACTTTCAGGCTCTGGGAGACGAAGGGATCCATTTCCTGAATGTCAGGTGAGAGCCCGGGTGACATACCCTTCCAGCAGCCACGAGGCTCCAAGCACAGATGCTTGGGGGCAACAAGCACGGCGCTCACCCTGTGCGGGGCACTGAAAGGCAGAGCAGCTGGACACGACCAGGAGAGGTCAGAAACACTCCTCAGGAAAGAGGCCAGTGCAGAAGGAAGGGGGAAATCAAGGGCACAAGACCCTTGAGGGGTGGGAGACAGGACCAGGTCATGGGGTTGGGTGTCCTGCCATCTCCCGAAACTAACCTGCTTGGTGCTGAAGAGCTAAGCCTCCCTCACACTTGCTGAGCCTACCTAAACTACATGGTGACTCCTGCAGCTTCCCAGGGCCCTGGACTAGACCTGCAGTGTGCTACCCAGAGCTGGGCATCACTGTGATAAGGGGGAAGGACATTAAGACTCAACTTCAGGAAATGACTAAACAAATCAGAAAGACAGCTATGGATTCCAAAGAATCTTTAGAAACAGTACTATAGGATAAATGGTCTCAGCATACAGTCAGTATCGTTAATGACTCCTTTTAAGCTGAGTTTTTAACAATTCTAAGAGAAGTAAACGCATGCAGCATAATCTCAAGTCCCTGTCGTTCCCGAGCCTACAGCAGTACCTTCATGTAGTTCTTGATGAACTCTGCTGCCCGGACACCAGTCTCCATGTTAAAACTGATGTCCACTTTAACTTCAGTCTCCTGATCTGTGAGCTTTATTATCGGTACCTAGAAAGATTCAATTCAGAAAACCATGAGTCCTGACAGGTGTCCAACATTGCACAGAGATTGTTTTCTTTCTCATTTTCGAAAGAGGACTGAGAGATCATGAAGCCTGGATTTTCATGAGACAGGGTTTTGTCAGGAGTCAGACTATCGGGGTCTGGTGTATTCAAGCCCCCCACCCTGCTGGAGGAAAGAGGGGGCAGCCGAAGAGGTCCAAAGCAGAGGGCAAGGGAAACAGGTGGCAAGGCCCAACCCCTGTGTCCTGAGAAGCCACACCACCTTTGCCTGCTGACGAGTCCTCTTTCTATTGGTGAGGGTTTGGAAGAAACACCACATTCATATTCTGTCTCTCTCTCTCTCTCCCCCTTGCCCTGCTGTCTTCTCTCTCTCTCTCTCCTTTCCTACCTACTCCCCCTCATCTCTCAGACAGAGCTCTAGCCCCGAGTTCCTGAGCCCAGGATGACTGTGCGAGGACAGGCAGTGAGCACAGGGTCGGCAGCTGGACTGGCCCGGGAACACCTGTGGGGAAGCGACTCCACCCAGTGTGCTATACCAGCAAGGTCACAGGGACTAAGCAGTTACTGCAACACTACTTGGGTACCATCTGTCCTCCAGAATGTTCTGGAATTCAGGAAAATGAGCCCCACTTTAGATCCTTTACCTTGAAGTAGTAAAACAGACAGAAATTCCCACCTGCTTTGCTTTTCAGAGGGCTTCATCTTCTTCAACTGCACAAACATGATGGCCAAAAAAGAGGAAGCCAGAGGGCCAGAGATAGCTAGGCCCCTCCCCGGTGTGGGAAAATGGACAGGGACATGGCTCAGAGCCGACGGGCCCCCGTGGAGGCCACAATCTCACCAGGCATGGGCTCTGTTTATCCCACCTTGGGCTAATTACCTCTCTCTGCATGCCTCAGTTTCCTCACCTATAAAATGTGAAAGACAACAGAGTCTGCCATTGAGAATGGCCGGGAGCACTAGGTGTGTACGACCGTCAGCACCTCAGAAGGTGGACAAAGCTCCTCCAGAGCAGAGGTCAGAGGAGCACACAGGCTCCCCCAGAGCTGGACCTGGAGGGAGACAGCTCCTGGGTGCTGCCAGAGCGGAGAGCAGTGCGAGCGCTCCGTGCGGCCGCAGGGGGAGGACTGCTGCTCCTCAGAGCACGGGCTTCGCGTGAACACCCTCCCATCTCCCCCGAAAGCACCCAGCAGAAAGCAGGCACTGGAAAGAGGAGAGTGCGCCCGACTCCCTGGATCTCCAGTGGGCGAGCTCAATCCCTCCAACTCGCACCAGCCGGAAGCTGAGATGACAGACCAGGCGCTGCTGAGCTGGTGGCTGTCCCCTAGGAGGCAAGCGACGTGCAAGTCCTGAGCTGCATCAATCTAATCTCTGGGGGAGCAGAAGACAGGGCTCCTAGGCTCATGCCTACCTAGCAAGTGCTTTACCACTTGAACTACGTATGCTTCCATTCCCGTCTACTTTGTTTGTCAGGTAGGATCTTGCATGTCAACTCAGGGCTGACCTTGGACTACATCATTCATTCCACCTATGCCTCCTGCAAAATAGGGATTTTAGACATGAATCACTACTGCTCTACCTTTCCATGAGATGAGATGTGGTTTCACTTATTTTTTACCTAAGCTGGCCTCAAACCATCATCTTCCTATCTCCGCCTCCCAAGCACATGAAATTATGTGTTCAGTCTGCACCAATCTGAAATCACTACTTTCTCTAAACCTAAGGACAAGTGCATATGAGAAGCAGCTGCATTATTCAGGTTCTCTCCAGCTTTCCCTGAGTCCTTTTTCGCTTGCAGATACAGTCTCTGAGCAGGAAGAAAAGCAAGTACTTTTTTTTTTCCTTTTTCTTTTTCTTTACCTGTCCTGGGACTTGAACTCAGGACCTAGGCACTGTTCCTGAGCTTCTTTTCTCAAGGCTGGCAATCTACCACTTTGAGCCACAGTGCCACTTTCAGCTTTTTTGCTGGTTATTGGGAGATAAGAGACTCACACAAACTTTCCTGCCCAGGCTGGCTTCAAACTGTGCTCTTCAGCTTCCTGAATAGCTAGGACTACAGATGTGAACCACTGGCACCTGGCTTCTTTTCCTGATTAGAACTTGGCAAACAATCATCTTTTCTCACATGATAACCTGAGCTGTCTGTCCCAGGACAGGCAGCACTAAGTGCAGGGCAGCTGCTCCCCTCTTAACTCTTCTCCTTTATTCCTTCCTCCTGCATCGACCACACACTGTGGGTTTGGGGGCACAAGTAGTCTGAAGATCTTACAGATATCTACCGCGTGGTCACTGAACACTTCTCAGCTAGTAATCATGAACATGTGCTATGCCAAGGAGTAGCTGCTGTCAAGCAGTTGTGCTCAACAAAGCAGCTGTGCAGGGTGCAGGGCCCCCTATGTGCCCGAGGCCCGGGTGGACACTCACGGTGGCTTTGTCAAGGACTTTGATGGAGCATGGCTCAGCCACATTGTGCTTCCGCAGGGCCTGCTCCAGGAGCTGCAGTGGAGGACGCTCCCACTTTCCAAAGACCACCAGGTCTATGTCACTGGACAGAAGGAAGATGCACATCAGCCACTGCTCACTTCCCCGACTCCCACAGACACCACCCAGCCCTCCAAAGCGCCCTGCCCTCAGGGAGATGAGCTGTTATCATGAGAGAGGCATAAAGCAGGAAGGTCACAAGATATGGCCAGCTATTATGGAAATGCTGCTGTCCAAACCAAGCAATGGCCCATGTTTCCAGACACCCAACACCTGTGCTGTCTGCCTGACCCATGCCTGCTGGCCCAGGTCCCTGAGCAGCTCAGATCTGTTCAGCTCCCTCTAGTCCCCAAATTCTACTGTCATCTCCACTTCCACCTCCAAATGCTCACTAGAAGTGGGTTAACAGGAGCTTCTGATGAAACAGTGCACATTTATAATTAAAAATCCTTCATGATTAAAAGTGAATTTGCCATTTGTGATCATGCAAAAATCCTCACAAAATACTGTTTAAATATAATTGAATCTTCATCAAAACTTCGATAGGGGGCTGGGAAGGTGGCTCAGTGGTAGAGCGCTTGCCTTGCATGCATGAGGCCCTGGGTTCGATTCCTCAGCACCACATAAGCAAAAAGAAAAAAGCCAGAAGTGGCGCTGTGGCTCAAGTGGTAGAACGCTAGCCTTGAGCTGAAGAGCTGAGGGACAGCGCCCAGGCCCAGAGTTCAGGCCCCATGACCAGACCCAAAAAATAACAAAAACAAAACTTCGATAGTCACTTGCTCCAAAATGTGTATAAATCAGAGCATCTTCCACTGTACTCACTACCAGGTCCACTATGATCTGTTCTTCAAAGCTAACCTGAAGCAAGGCCTTTAAGAGGTGACTAGTCAGGGCACAGGGGCCGCCACCCAGGATGGGGCTACTTGTGAAGAGGCCCCCTTTTTTCCTCTCTATATGATGTCCTCTATCAGATTGTGACATAGCAAGGCCGAACCAGACCTGGCCCTCCAGAACTGAGAGCCAAATCAGCTTCTATTGTTTATAATTTACTCAAGTCTGTTCTGTTACAACAGTGAAACCAGTCTAAGGCTTCTCATTCATCTTGCTGTTTCTAGTGCCCAGCATTTTTGCTCTTCAGCAAACTGTTAAAGAGGAAAAAATGCCAGGCCACCAATACCCTGCCATAAGACCACATCACATTTCATGTACTGCCAATTCCCTCTGTGCCACCCAATCTTTCTCCTCAGCTGGCATTTCCAGCCTCATATCCGGTTACAAGAAACATGCTTATAAGCCCTTAATGAGCTCACAGAACCGCCCACCTCAGTACGCACAAGCACTAGCTCACACAGCGATATCTGATACTTACCTCGTTGGAAGATAGAGACCTGTACTAAAGCTGCCAAATATCTGCACCTGAAAGAAAGCAAGACTGTCTTTAAACATGTCCCACAGATCCAGCAGGCATACTTCCTTCACACCTAATAAATCCCTGGGTAACAGGTCAAGCCACTCTGGAAGTCTGAAGGGGACAGGTAAGTCTACAGCCAAGTAAAAAATGTCTTCCATCCTTATAGTACATTAAACACAAAGAAAAATGTTTAACTTCAAAATTAACTGATAAAACTAACGTCCTCACCTATATCAACTCAAACATCAGCAATTCTCAGAGCCTGCCTCTGGTATTTCAGCAATGTCTGCAGCCCCTAGCTAAGCGATTAGGGCAAAACTTTGTCCTAGGCACTGAAGTGCATTCATGTTGTGAGTGGAGGTGCTGAAAGCCCAGGGCCCTGCAGCCAGGGCCCACGGCTGCCATCACTTATCCAGTGTCCCGGGAGGTCACTGGTAGGAAGGTGGACTGGCGAGACCAGGAACTCCAGGTGGTCAGCAGCCTGGTCAGAGGGCATGGCTCCTGATGCTGTGCACAACAAAATGTTCATGCACCTCATCTCAATAAACACGTATTCGTGCACATGAAAGTGCAGGGCAAGGAAACTCTGCCAATTTTCATGAAGCGATCACACCACATTGTACACTTCCTGGTGTGGTGACAAGCAGAGGAGGTAGGGACGAGGATAAAATGTTTGATCTGAAGATGAATTTAAAACAAGAATTCTCACACCACTCAAATACAAGGCCCTGAGGCCTGTGGCCCGGCATCAGCACGTGAGACACCAGGGCCGAACAGGGCTGACCATCCGGCAGGAACAGGGAGTGGGGAAAGTACACCTCTAACGCGAGAGCTAGAGAAAAAGACAGGACTGTGAGTCTGACTGACACAGACAATCACAGGCATTTCCAAGGACATGTGTGAGCTGTGCATACAGACGGTACCCACATCTGCCGTTGGCCAGAGGTCTTTAACCACAGTTTCGATCCGTTTCACCACCTCCCTTCTCATGGCTGCTTCTTCGGGACACGGGGACATGAAGTTATAAAAGTCAATTATTTCCTCATGAAGCCTAGTGGATACAAGAGAAAAACACAAGAGTTACAATTAAGTAGATCCATACTGTCCATTCTGTTCATAGATCAGTTATCAGTTTAAAAAAAAAAAAAAACTTCTGCCACTAAGATCCCTCTTTTTCTCTCAGAAAATGTACAATGAAAGGAAGACTGTATAGTGAACCATATTATTCATTATGGCTTAGCACCACACACAAAGGTGAACATTACCAAGATCAAATACAAATACACAGTTGAAGTCATACTCAGGAACTTTACATTAAGAGAATGAAGCTAAGAGCTGGTGACTCACACTTGTAAGCCTAGCCACTCAGGAGTCTGAGATCTAAAGATTGAGGTTTGAAGACAGCCTGGCAGGAAAGCCTTTGAGACTCTTACTTACAATTAACCATCAAAAAGCCATAAGTGGAGTTATGATTCAAGTAGATTCTAGTAGAGTCCTAGCCTGGAGTGAAAAGCTAGGAGACCTGCTCAGACCCTGAGCTCAAGACCCAGTACTAACACCACCATGCATGGTGCACAGGTGCACACACAATCATACACAGCTTAATCCTAGAACATACAACAAATCTACTCTGGCTACTTCCATGGTAATTTGGATAATACAGCAAGTAGTCAAGACAAAAATAAAACATGGTGGGGGCTGGGAAGGTGGCTCAGTGGTAGAGTGCTTGCCTTGCATGCCTGAGGCCCTGGGTTCGATTCCCCAGCACCACATAAGCAAAAAGAAAAAAAAAGCCACAAGTGGCACTATGGCTCAAGTGGTAGAGCGCTAGCCTTGAGCTGAAGAGCTGAGGGAGAGCGCCCAGGTCCAGAGTTCAGGCCCCACGACTGGACCCAAAAATAAAAAATAAAATAAAAAAAATAAAAATAAAACATGGTGGGGCTGGGAAGGTGGCTCAATGGTAGAGCGCTTGCCTTGAATGCCTGAGGCCCTGGGTTCAATTCCTTAGCACCACATAAGCAAAAAGAAAAAGCCGGAAGTGACGCTGTGGCTCAAGTGGTAGAGCGCTAGCCTTGAGATGAAGAGCTGAGGGACAGCACCCAGGCCCAGAGTTCAGGCCCCACAACGGGATCCAAAAAAAAAAAAAAAAAAACCATGGTCAGGACCATTCTAGAATAGGTTGCATAGTGCAGGGCACATCTTTTTAACAGAACTTATTGAAGTTTAAAAGGTAAGTGATATTATTTCACACTTTGGCTTTTGAGATTAATCTGCAGCTTGACCATCATCACCCTCCACCCCTCCTCCCCCGCCAGAGAATCACCTGGGTTAGTGCTGCATAGTCCCCACAGGAAGACTAAAGGTGCATCAAGTGCCAAGGGCAGCCACAGCACCCCACGGGTGAGACCTGAGGGCCGCCACTCACCGGACGCTCGGCATTAGCCTGTCTCCGCAACCTAATTCTATAGCATGGGATTCTGAAGTTAGCCCCCAGCCATGCACACATTTCTGAAGCAAACAGCCACAATCTGTTTTCCATAGATCCAAAATGGTGCTAACTATAAGGCATTAAACGAAGTACTTTTGCAAAATACAGATCCAGCTGCAAGATTTGCGTAATAAAGCCTCTGCCTCTTTTCAACAATTACTGAACACCAGCCACACACGTCTACCATTCCCAGAAGTTCCACAGGCCATGTTAACCTGCAGAGTTCCTAAGTTCTGCCATTTAACATTCCTAAGTAGAGCCACACATTGAGTCCACCAGCCAAGCGCCAAGCCAGGCACGAGTCCCACACAGCCTTTTAGTTAGCCAGGGTGGCCGGACAGGTGTCCTTCACTTTCAGTGAGGCTCTGAGGAGCCCTCTGAGAGGCAGCCTGGTCTCCAGTGTCAGAACTGGATCATCCAGGGAGCCAGAGCACAGCTTGGGCGAAGGTAAGCCAGCCCCATGTGTCCCGACCACTGCTACCGTTAACTGTAGGGAGCCACTGTCTTGATACTCCCCAGGGTAGACTGAGTGAGCTGGAAGCTTCTACACTGCACACATGCCTCCTCCACTGCAGCACTCTGCTGTAGGCATGCCAGGGGAGGTCTCATGAGCAGCCTCCCACCACCCCACAGTGGTGGCTTCCCACTAGGTCTCAGGTATTAGCCTCAGTTTAGGTTTGGAGTATGCAGAAAGGGGGAATCTATTAGCAGCAAGCAATGGTACCTGGCCTATAGATGAGGGCAACCTGGGTTCCATCTAGAAGGTGGTTCTCAGACACACTACGTGGAACGTGCCCCAGTGACTCACTGCCTTCCTATTCTAAGAGCGAGGGAAACTGAGTTTTGCCATTCGTCACGAAACTATTGGAGAAGAGAACACAAAAGCACTACGTTCTGGCACTTTTCTACTGAAAGATTACTTCCTGAGACAAATCCATTCAGAAGTAAGTCTATGAACTTCTGCCTTTAGAAGCTAAGATGGTTCCCATTTGTCTAAAGTTGACTCAGAGCCAGGGAGGACATGCTGGTCCTGAAGGTGTGGGCTGGGGCTCCACATCTACCAGCCCTGTTTGCTGGACCCTCTGTGTGCACCCCCACATCCCCTCTGGCTCTGTTCCCTCCTGCTAGCATGATTGTTGGGCTGTTTCATTCTTTGTGGTAAGAGGATGAAAAGATGTCACGTACAGCATTCAAGGAGGACCCGGATGGACAGGTAACAGCTGTGAAGGACAACAGAAACAAAGGGCCGAGTGCAGAGCCCATAGCCTGATGAAGCAAGGAAACCTTAAAATAACTGTGCAAGCAACAAGGCACAGAACAATCCCTGAGTGTGCCAGCACTAGGAGGAGAAACGCACCCCGGCGTTGCGACCAAGACAGTTCCTCTAGATTTCAAATCTACTTTCTTCTAAGAAGTGGATGGTCAGATTTCATTCAGCATTAAGGAAAAAAAGCAAAGCCAGTAAGAAGGAGCACCCCTCCTCTTGTTTTAAGGGCGTCCTTGGATTCTGTGCGTGCCATTCTGTCATGTTCTGGAATCCTCTCTCCACAAAGAGCTGCCCTCTGTAGGCTGGCGCTGCCCAGTCCCTGCCATTTTTCACAGCCCCTGCACCATCAAGGTTTCCAGTCAACACTCAGGTCTGCCTACGGTTAACCGCCTGCCTTGGTCAATGCTTAGAACTCCTCTCATTAATCTGGTGGATTCCAAATGCTCAGGCAAAAGTGATTTATAAGCTGGATTCAACTGTTCACAGTGCTTTGCCTTATAATATAAAATGCAATAGGAAACACTGGCGCCTGTGCTCAATTGTGACTTCATTCTCTTTTTCCCCTCCTCCAACTCTTTCTTCATATGCTTCAGGACCAGTGGTTTTTCCCTGAAACCAGACCTCCCTCCCTTCAGTCCCAGTATTCAGTCTGTATTCTTCCAGAAAACAATACATACACTGGTCAGTCAATACAGCTGGACATCACTTTCACTTTGTAGATTTCCACATGCTTTGATGCAATTACAATACAATAACTGATTCCAACTTCCCAGGGCTGCACAGGAGGGCGGGATTCGTGTTCCCCTCTTTACTAACTAGCAGAACAGGCTGCTAAGCAACTGCACATGTGAGGACCACAAGGCAGCGAGTTTGCTCTACTATGCTGAAGGTTGGAGCTACCTCTTCAAAGCAGCCCTCTACTGAGGCTAATGCGCCAATTGTAAATTGCTTTATCTGTTTCTTTCTTAACTATGTTATGCGCCAAATAGTATCTGCACAATTAGAAAAACTTGAATCAGACCTTCAACCATGATGGCTTTTAAAACAAGTGGAAGGACGTGGCCTGGAGCCGTAAGTGGAACGTCCACGTTTCCGGAACTCCGGGGAGCTGCTGCCAGTGCCAGCCCTAGCTCCTCCCCACCAGGGCAGGGGCCTCTCTGGCGCTTTCCACACCGGGCTCTGAATGAAGCTGCAGGCATGTGGTTTTCAAATGTGAATGGAGAGCCGGGCGAGGTCCTGGGAGAGCCTGTTGCTGGGGAAGGCTGGCAGCCCAGCCAGCGGCAGAGAGGGCACACAGCCCCTCGAGGAGGAGCCTTGAGAACCGGGCAGGAGCCAGGTGGAGAGGTGGGGCCAGCTCCCCAGGGCAGACAAGGCCAACTGTGGTTAGAAAGGTTAAGGCCAAACAAGTACATATAACAGCCTGCTGTTTAGAAACCAATGTGGGAACCGCAGTTCATTCAAATTCAGCTCCTCATAACACAAGCCTTCCCTTTTTTCCCTCCCAGATTCCTCTGAGATCAGAGATCAGACATAGGGAGCGTGGAGCAGTTCCAAGGGTCCTTCAGTGCCTAATCTCAAAGTCAGCAAAGGTACCTTTGTGCACAATACAAGACACAACACTACTACCACCCAGGCAAAGCAAACCCAAGCACACAGCAAATGTGAGCAAAGGCAGAGACCAATCAATCTAGGAGAGAAAACCACAGCAGGCTTCAGAAAACAAGAACTTAGATGTGTGTTTCCAGTAGCTAAACCAGGACAAAAGTATGCAAACTAGAAATTCGTACTCCTGGTAACCCCAGAGCTAGTGAGGAAAATACCTGTGACAAGATACCTACAAGCAAACTAGGTGAGCCATGGTATGGGGGCGAAGCAAGCACCAACGCTCCAGAACCCCAGTGCACTGATCCGCCCAGAACCAGTATCACCCCACGCCACTCTCCTCGGCAAGCCTGGGAACTGTGCTTCCCGGGGGTGGGTTCGGGAGAACTCAGGCACAAGCAGCCCTCTTGCTTAGCACATCTTCAGCAGGACAAGAAGCACTGTGCACACGCTGTGGGAGCAGAGGCTCGGGAGGGACAAGAAGGAACTCGCCAAGCCACATGCCCACTCCGCTCCTGGCGACCTCAGGCTGCCTGTCACCCAGCCTTGCACCATTCCACCCCTCTGGGAGCCACGGAAGAAACCAAGCCCGCTGTGGGAGGCAGCCCGGGCCCCAGGTCTAGTTTGCTAGTTCAGGGACTCGGACCTTGTTCAAAATTGAAATCGCTAAATGTTCTCTTATCTTTGCAG